CGCCGCCGCAACCGCGTGGTGCAACGCATACGAGCAGCACCCGTGCATTTTTTCCCCACACCCTCCTTCGAGTATTGATCTGTGCTGGGGTTCACTGGACGACGAGGGCACGCGAGCGCCAGACGACTAAGACGACGACGACGATAACGATGACGACGATAACGACGACGACGACGACGACGACGACGAGGACCAGGACGGAGAAGGGGACGACGACGACGTCGACGACGACGACGACGATTTTCCAACATAAAAGAGAAACACTCATCACGGCCATGCGTGGCTAAGACATGTTCTGATCACAACGAGGGATGCCTTGTCGACTCTGCGCGGAAAATCTGGATGCTGGACGACGACGACGACGACGAGGACGAGGACAAGGAAGACGAGGAAGAGGACGAAATCGAAGACGAGGAAAAGGACAAGGACGGCGACGAAGACGACGACGACGGACGCCTCTGAAGGTCTCTGAAGGTCTCTGGAGGCCTAAGGAGGTCTCTGAAGACCTCTGCAGGCGTCTGGAGGCCTTTCGAGGCCCTCGACGACGACGACGAGGACGAAGACGAGGACGACGACGACGAGGACGACGACGGCAACGACGACAGGACGAGACCGAGAAGTACTATATGTGTATGTATACACACATGTATCCACACATCTCGCCATAAATACATGTATATATATATATATATATACATGTAGGGAGAGATGTATGTATCGATACGTGCATGTATAAATCCATCAAGAATTGCATGTACGTAAGCATCCGTCAACCTACATATATAGGTATATGCTATATCCACCTACCGGTATGGCTACCCGTCTCTCGATCGATCAATGAAAGGGTCGATACATATAGGTATATGTACATTTATATATGTGTATATATACGTACATGCCTATATCTCGATATATATATATATATATATACTCATGTGGCGTGTGCATGCCATGCCTCATGTAACCCCCTGTGCAGGATGTGTGCATGTGGTGCGTAGAGTTTGGCGTATGTGTGTTGTCTGGTGGGCGCGACTGTTGTGCTATGTGTATGTATGCGAGGGTCATGTGTGGGTCATGTGTTCTGCGTGCTATGTGTGCTTGCGTTGTGTCTGTGCGTTGTGTGTGCGCTGTTTGTGATTGGTATTGTGTGTGTGTGCTGTGTACTGTGTGTGTTGTGTGTTCTTTGTGTGCGCGCGCTGTGTGTTGCAGGTGTTGTGTCTGTTCTGTGTGCTGCCTGCGTGCTTTGTGTGGTGGGTGCTCTGTGAGACTTAGATGTCTGTGCGTGTCCGACGTCGGGGCACGATTGCGGGAGAAATTCTCAGGCAGCACTGAGGTTTTCTGATGATTGCATTGCAAAAGGGCTCGATGGTTGAGGGATGTCTCAGGCGAAACTGCAATGTTCAAAACATCGGGCTCAACAACGTCGAATTCCACTATTGCTTCGAAGATGTTAGGCAAAAACTAGTGAAACAATGTAATTTGAGGCTGGACCGTGACGTCAAGATCTGCGTGAGGAATGCGTTCGACGTTCTGAATATGGAGGATGTCCCGAGCTAAACGGCCAATACAATCCCAAGGGGCGGGACCCTGAATTCATCGCAACTGAGCTCTACTCCCTCGGTGAGGTGCGTATACTAAGAAGTACACACATATATACATGCCAGGCTCTGGGCCCACGGGCCCCTCCCCCCCGATGGGATGTGTCCCAGGGCTCCATGAGCCTCCCTCCCCCCCCCTCATGGGATGGGGGGGTGGGAACGACGACGACAACGGCGACGGCGACGGCGACGACGACCACGACGTCGACGTCGACGACGACGGCGGCGACGACGACGGCGACGACGACGGCGGCGACGACCGCGACGACGACGACGACGACGACGACGACGACGGCAACGACGACGACGACGACGACGTCGGCAGCGGCGACGACGACGGCGACGACGACGACGACGACGGCGGCGACGACGACGACGACGGTGACGACGACGACGGTGACGACGACGACGGCGACGACGACGATGACGACGGCGACGACGACGACGGCGACGACGACGACGACGGCGACGACGACGACGGCGGCGGCGGCAGCCGCGCGGCGGCGGCAGCCGCGGCGGCGCCGCCGCCGACTTCCAGAGCCCTCTGACGACGACGACGGCGGCGGCGGCGACGACGACGACCTCTGGAGCACTCCTGGAGCACCACACCACGCTAGACACGCCACGCCCACAGCACAACACCATACCTACAGGGGGCGGGGAGGGGAGACCATTGCGCGGGGCGTGGGGGGGGGGCCCGTGGCATCAGCGTGGGGGGGAGGCCCTGGCCCTGGACTACTCATGCATATACGAATGTAAGTACATATGTTGATCAACATGTCCGTAGATCAACCTCTCGATCGACCCATCGATTGTATACGTGTTTACGGTTGTATGGTAACGCATGTATATATATATACACACGTACATGTATCTAGATATGTCCACCGACAATCAGGTCGAAACATCGACATGTCTGTCTATCTAGCCACCCATCTATCTATACACTACATCCGTCCATCGATCTGGCTTTACCCGACTTGGTTTCTGTATCAATGTGTAGAGACATATACAAACAGTTTGCATATGCATACTGACAGGTATGTGTATGTATGTATGCCAAACGATCAATGTCCATACATATATGTATGTGAGACACCATACACATTTGCAAAACGCAAATGTAAGAATGACAAGAAAATGCACGTTGTGAATCGCCCACGGAAAAAATTCAAATGCACATCACACTGAAAAATATTGTTTGTAACGCGCGCAAACGGAATCGATCCCTAAATCCCCCATTACAAAGATCGTTTTGCGAAGTGACACAAGTTGATTAGATTTGTAGCCCTTCCAACAGGGAGCAAATAGTTGCGAATAAACCAAAAGGAATGCTAGTGCAAAGCCCCGAAAAGGATTCGAATTGCAATTCACACCATGGGATTGAGTAAGCAAAGTCACAACAGAAGTAATTCTGATACGAAACCATGCAAATTATCAGAGTAGACCGCACAATGAAACGCTAATTTGCAAACCACCCACAACCCCAGGAAAAAAAAACAACTCACACAACGAACACAAGGAATACAACTCGCCAACACTGACACAATGATTTCCGGCGTGTAGGGACAAAAGCAAATTGGGAGGACGACATAAAAACAAACGAAAAACGGAAACTGGCTGTTTGGTTTCATGTTGTTGCCCTGGCCCCCGCCATCAGGAAACTCAAACAAGGGAAACAATAGAAACATGCTCCTTTTTGTGTTGGCCTTCTCCCAAACTCTTCTCGACTCACTGTCAAAGGGGATAATTGAGTGGGTATGGTTCTTATGTGTGGGCTACATCGAACATTTCTTGTGTAGACACTCGGATTCCTGTTGTAAGCGACTTACACATTGAATTTGATTGTCCAGGTTGCAAATAAACAATCCTTTTGTACAGCTGTCTGATCGGACTCTTTCTGCGCGGCGTTCATGGAAACCTTGCGCGGGCGATTCAGACACTGCTTCCTGTTGCAGAGCATCCCAAAGAGTGCGAGTCGTCGCAACGAATTCCAGACACAGACGCGCCGCGCAAGAAACCACCAACAAAAATATAGAAAATCAGACCGCCTCGCCCCTTTTGGGCGCCTCCTGCTGCGCCCAGGAAGCGCGGGGAGCGACAAGTGGGAAGGACCCCGGGGACAACTCCGAGCCCCTGCCAGAAAAACTAAGCCGTGCCCAGTATCGCACCTCCTGGACGGCACGCCGAATTTCCGCCCGCCGCCACGCGCGCACCGCAGAGCGGCAGCTGCTTCTCCTCCTCCTCCCCCCCTTGTCCTCATATAGGGGTCGCCGTCCTCCTCCTCCTCCTCCTCCTCCTCCTCCTCTTCCTCCTCCTCCTCCTCCGCCATCCTCCTCCTCCTCCACCATCCTCCTCCTGCTCCCCCTCCTCCTCCTCCTCCTCCTCCGCCTCCTCCTCCTCCTCCGCCTCCTCCCCCTCGTCCTGTTTCCTGCTGCTGTTGGCAGGGTCAGTCAGCACCGAATCGAGAAGTCGGATCGAACGGGAATGGGGGTCGGATCGGGCTCCACTGGCACAAAATCAGCATCGAAGTGGATCGGCTGCGACCCGACACACAACTACACTGAGAACATCGGGCTGTATCGGACCGCCGTGAATTTGAATTCAAATCGAGTCGACCTGGGTGAACTCGGCATCGAATCGGATCGATCGGACCGAATTGGGCCCTGGACCGAAATATCGCGACCGCAACGTAACGGGCTCTCACAAACGCACTCGACCCGACGAGCCCGTCCAAGGGCCTGCACATATACTCATGGACAGACAAATTTGTATGTATATGTATGTATACCTACACAAACATGGACCGTGTGGCCCCTGAGCACAAGACCGTCAGAGGGCGGACGGGTGAAGGCACCCAGGACCAGGGATACGTGCACGCTCAAGAAAGCGACGTCATCAATACTACATATTACGGCAACACAGCGACACATAGAACATATAGCATCCATCGCTCTGACGAGGTGGGTAGAAACATGATGTGGGAAAGCGCTGACATCAGATCTGGGTTTCGCTTCCCCCCTGAAGAGGAAGAAGGGAGTCAATAGAAGGCACATAAAGGAAACTGGAATCTTGGATTCCAAACACACATACAACACTCAAGGGGCGATGGGGAGAACTCACAGACCACGGCACGCGTCGGGGCACGGCTTTGCTGGCTGAGCCTACCTTTCAAGCATTCGGGGCAGAGGACACGCCGCTTAAAGATTAGACTCGGGCAAGTGGCTTGCAGTCCCATGCCATGAAAGTAGACCACCAACCTCCAGCAAAAGGACAACTCAAAGGAGCAATGGGCACACGAAAGAACGCGCGTACGCTCGCGGCGGACACAGGCCGTGATATGAAGGACGACGGGGGGCCTGACCTGATTCCGAGAAGAACCGAGAGCAAGGCGGATGCTTCTTTTGACTCTGAAAAACGGCTCGGCGTCTCCCTGTGTCGCACACTGTAGCGCGAAACGTCGGCTGTACAAGAGCAGAGCTGGGACTATCTCCTGGATTCCCCACCCACGACCTTCCCTTCGGCCGCGGCCACACACCCACAGACAGGGCAACCAAAGCTGGGCCCGTGGGCGGGGCCCCCTGGGCGAGGCCCTCGGGGCAACGAGCTCACCCCCGCGTCGACGAGACACCGAGCCACCGACATGTGACACGGCTGGGGGCAACGCAGCCGTTGGCCAGTTGCGCGCGGCCAGGAGTCTCGCATCGGACACTCGAAAAGCCTCGGAGGCGAGACGACATACTTACCGAAAGGCATCGTGCTCAGACCGCCGCCTGGGGTCGAGGCCCGCACTGGCACGTCGCTGGTCCACGGCTGAGGACGAGGCAACTGGGAGCCTGAGATCGCTGCGCCGGAGATCCTCCGAGAACTCAAAGCTGGAGCCCAACCGTCGATCATTACCAGCCTCGAACTTATCCCTATCCCTAAGACTGACACGTCAAGAAGAGATGACAACCTTCGGGATGCGCCCTCAAGAAAATAAAGGAACCCCTAAGATTGGCATCGTGACGAGGAGATGCCCAGCACAGGGATAGGGACATGCTCCAAGCTGGTAAACTCCACGTGCTGGCGTCACTTCCGCGACTGCCTGGCACAGGATGAGCTCATGGAAGCAGCGAGGGGCCACGGGCCGGGCCCAGGGTGGCCCGGGACGCCCCCGGGGCGGGGCCCGGCCAAAGGCAGCCTCCGAGACGGCCTAGGCCCAACCACTCGAGTGCTCCCTGTAGGGGCCAGAGGACCGGCCAGACGGCCCGAGGTGGTGCAACTGAACCTCTTCGGGAGAGCCCCGTGAAGCTGCGGTGGGGGCATCGGATGAGGAACCCTTCGACAAGGATCCCAGGGTCTGGATACCGGTGGAACTCCAATCGAGGCCTGGCAATGGAAATTACAGCCGCCCTCATCAAATAAGGAACCCTTCAGGGTCTGAAGCCTCCCGTGTACGTTCCTTCTCAGACGCCCCCACCGTATCGCGCCACAAACCCAGAAGAACCCGCCACAAGCCCCCCTCTCTGGGCCCCAGGACACCACAGAGAAACCTGCAGGAAGCCACCTCGATCCCACCAGCCCCCAGCATGCCTCATGAAGGTTACGGCAGCGTCACGCTCGGGGCCCACCAAACAGCAGCACACGGCGCAAAATCCATACGAAAGAGGGGGTCGAGAACACGGAATCGCGCACATCGACGGCATCGAAATGCGGGAGGTCTGGGCGCAACAGAGGGCAAAAGAGAACAGGAGCTACACAAGTTTACTGCTCGACCCCCTTGTCTGGAGCAGAGGCGCCTCGCTTCTGGCAGTATCAAAGCCCCCAAATCCCCCGACTCGAAACCACATATTGTTTTGGCGTGCGAAAAACAGCATACATTAACAGATGCTCGATCGAGGACGCCTGCCCTAAGGCGGCTGAACACCTTATACCCTCACCTGCCTCCGTCGGGGCGTGAACTCCCCACTCTCCTCGGATGCAGAAAAGTTCATGCAATCAGAATGAGAGGGCCGAACGGTCCTACACCATCCCTAGGTTCGCAAGTGAAGATGGATTCCGTGGCCCAGGTTTGCCTGGTTGTTGGGTTGTTGTTGTTGACTATTCACTACTGAACATTACTTATTATTGGTCCTACCCCTCCTGGGCACATGTTGTTTTACAATTCGGATGCTCCTCCTGGAACGCGCACCCTGTTTTCTACAAGGGAAAGCGGGGGGTCACCAAACTGGGCCCCTGGCCCCCAGTTTACAACAACATCGGCTCCCGTCTAGTTACTTCCTCACCATGTATTCCCACTTCGCGCTCTCGCCCGGGACTTCCTCACAATGTGCAGGAGTCGCGCTCAGTCGTTGGACGCCCTCGCAATTTACTCGGACGCCACGCCCTCGACACTCAGGAATCACGCTATCGCTTTGAATTCCCTGACGATTTATTCGGGAATCGCGCTGTCGCTCGAGACGCCCTCGCGATTCATGCAGGACGCACGCATGTTGTTGTTGTGATGTTATTGTTGTTGGTGTTGGTATTATTGTTGGTGTTGTTGTGGTTATTGTTGAAGTTCGGGGTCAAACCACGCAGTTTGAACACGACGACGTTCCTTGGTAAAAACAGAGTGCGAGCCCCGAGGGGACACTTCAATTGAAAAACGTGACGTGGATCGGCGATGTGGGGATCGACAAAGATTATGTTTCAAGCGTGATACTTCGGTACCACCAGTAGCAAAGCAACAACAACGACAACGACAACCATAACATCACTCGTTTCAGGACTGTTCGCTCTTACCTGCTCGCGCGCTTCTCATCACGTATATCCCACACCCTCGATACCGCCCTCTTCGTCATCGATCGTACAACCTTTGGGATACAATTGTATTACCTGCGACGTGCATTTCGTGCATTCTGAGGCAGGGGAAGAGAGGACGGATGACATTAAAGGGCAAAGGGGGAGGGAGGATGAGGGAACACGAGAGAGTAGCAGGAGGGGGGTTACGAGCAGAGAACACGAAACAACATCAGACGGACAGAACGGGCGGGCCGGGAAAGCGGGCCCCGGCGGCCAGGTCGAGCAGGCGGGTTGCTGAAGCGTGCGTCCTGCATGAAATCGTCAAAAGTCTCGAGCGATAGCGCGATTCCCACATCAATCGCGAAGACATCCACAGCCAAAGCGTGATTCCTGAGTGATGATGGGGCGGCGTTCGAACAAATTGCGAATCCGTCCCACGAGAGAGCGCGACTCCTGCATACATTGTGAGGAAGTCCCGCGCAAGAGCGCGAAGTGGGAACAGATTGTGAGGAAGTAGCAGGCGGGCGCGGTTGTTATTGTAACTCGGGGGACGGGGACGCAATTTGACGCTCAAAGAATCCCATTGAAAAACAAGGCGCGAGCCTCGGGAAAGGTAACTTCAATTCAAAAATACCATGTGCACCGGGCGGGGGGGGACCAATAATCACCATTCTTCAAACATGCAAACTGTTCGCTGCTATCCGATCACTTGCCATGCAATACGTATACTTGCCACGCGCATTTAGTGCAGCTCCTAGAACAAGGGAAGAGAAGGCGGGTGGAAGTGGGAGGGAGAAACATTGAAAACGAGAGAAATTAGCAGGAGAGGGGGCAAAGAACAGAAAACAAGTGGTATAACCAAACAGGCAGATCGGGTGGGCAGACCCATCGCGGGTAGGTCGGGAAGGCGGGCCCAGGCGACCAGGTCGAGCAAGCGGGTGGCTGAAGCGCGGGTCCTGCATGAACCGCGAAGACGTCTCGAGCGATAGCGCGATTCCCAAGAAAATCGTGAGAACAGCCAAAGCGAGAGCGTGATTCCAGATCGCCGAGGGCGCATCCTCTTAACGAACTGCGAAGAAGTCCCTCGCGACAGCGCGATTCGAATAACATGTGTGAGGCAGTCCCGCGCGATAGCGCGATTTGGGAATAAACTGAAAAGAAATATCAGGCAGGGGCCACTGTTGTTGTTAACCAGGGACCTAACAACACAGTTTGAGCCCTGTGGCGTTCCTAGAACAGGGTGCAAGCCCCAGAGGAAGCACTAGAATTGAAGAAAATGTATAATGGTCACCAGGGGGAAATAACCAAACAACAACAACCATCAGTTTACCAAACCATCTATTTTTCTTTCTGCAGCACGCAGTGTTTTATTTCCTTGCGCGCAGGGGTCCGATATCCCCCCCCCCTCTCCCTGATATACCGCCCGCGGAGGCCCGGACAACGCATCTCCCGAAGCATCTCAACATCTCCAGCCCATACGGCACGTCGCCTTCGCGATCTCCTTGCCCAGGCCTCGCGTCTCAGTCTCGCGACGCCCGAGTGGCCTAAGACCTCTGGGAGAGGCCTCGCAGGCTGCGGGGGAGCCCCGCGGAAAGGCCCCGAGAGCCTCTGCGAGAAACTCCGGAGCCTGGGCCCCTGGGCTGTCGACCTTTTCCCGAAGGCCGCTTCTGCGTCGGCCAATTTCTGATGGCGCCGGGGCCCATCGTCGCCGCCGCCGCCGCCGCCGCAGCCGTCGCCGTCGTCGTCGTCGACGTCGTCGTCGTCGGGCCCAGAAACGGCCCGGGGGCTCAGGCGAAGGCGCCCGCTCGGGAGTCCGCGCCAGGTTTCGCCAGAGTTGAAGGGGCCCTGGGACACACAAATAAATACACACAAATAAAAAGATTCCCCTATATGTTCTTATATTTTCTGGGTTTTTGTCTTCCCCCCCACTTGCAATATTTTCCAATATTTTCTGGGGAATCTACGATTAATTGTGTCTGTGTGTTTCTTTCCCTCCTGAAGAGTCGCCCGGCTCAGAACAGGAAAGCTGGCGAATCGCTGGAGGCGGAACAGGCAGCTGGCGCGAGAGCTGGCGGCCAAGCTGGCGCGCAAGAGGGAGGAAAGGAAGAAAGCAGAGGGACTGCGGGTGAGGGAAGGAGAGAAGGGGAAGGCTCCGGCGACCAGCGTCATAACTGCCGTGAAAGCTTGAAATATGAAAAGGAAAGCGGGAGGAGACACATTGGGAGAGCTGGCGAGATAGAAGGGACAACTGGAGAAAGTTGGGGAAAGCTGGCGGAGAAAAAGGCGGGGGGGGAACGATAAGGAAATATAGGACAACTGAAGGAGAAAGGAAGAAGGGAGGGAGGAAGAGGAGGACGACGACGACGACCACGACGACGACGATGATGACGGCGGCGGCGAGGGCGACGACGCCACGCCCCAGGACACGAGCGAGAGCGAGGTCGCGCGGAGCAGGCGCGAGAGTGAACGAGAGCACGAAAGCGTATCCAGGGTGTCCAGCAATAGCAACTGTTGAATATTGTTTAGTAACTAAACTTCAATCGGGACGAGGGAAGCCTCTTAGCCCCCCGGGAGTCTTCAAAAAATCCAGAAGACATCTCGAACGGGAGCGTCGTTGTTTGTAAAGGGTCCTGAAGCGGGAGCGCCGGTCCTGAGGTAAAACACAAGGAAATATCGAACGAGAACGCCGATGTTGTTAAAGAGTCGGCATTGGGGGGCGAACAAGAGCCCCGGCCCGAGCGAGAAGAAAGGAAGTATCGAGCCAGAGCGTTGTTGTTGTTGTTGTTGAATTCTCATTTCAGAAAAATCAATATTGTTAATCCCCCCCACCAGTGCATACTTTTTTTTCTCAATCAAAGGGTGCCCCTCGACGCTCGCACCCGGATTTTTGACAGGGAAAGTCTTGATGCTGAAACTGGGCCCCTGGCCCCTGGGTTACAACAACAACGGCTCCCGCCTGACACGTCCTTGCTATTTAGCCAGGATCCCAGCTCCCGCCCGAGAATTCCTCGCATTTCATTCAGGAATCGCGCTCTCGCTTGGGACTTCCTTGCAATTTATTCAGGAATCGCTCTCCCGGCGCTCTGGAGTCGCGCTCTCGCTGGGGACTTGCTTGCAACTAACTGAAGAATGGCTTTGCGTTTGAATTTCTTGCGATTTGCCGTAGCGCCGCGCTCCTGACACCCAGGCACCCCGGAGTCGCGCCCGTTGTGGCCCCATGTGCATGCCCTTCGCGGCCCCGCTGTCGCCATTTGTGTCCCCCTCACTGTTCTACGTGGCCCAGTTGCTACCCTCAGTGGCCCCATAGTTGCCTTCTATGGCCCCGCATTATCTGCACTTCGTGGCCCCCGCTCGTCCGCGCTCTTCGTGGCCCCATACGCATTCCCTTCGTGTCCCCGCTGTCGCCCTTCGTGGCCTACTTCGTGCCCTTCGTGGCCCTGCTGTCGTTCTCTCTCGCTCTCGTTTTCACTAGTCGTAGCCGTCGTCGTCGTCGCCGTCGTCTTCGACGTCGTCGTCGTCGTCGTCGTGGTCTGTCCCCTGTCCGTCCCTCTTGGGGTCGGGTCGACGGTCCGCGGCCGCCCCGCCGATCAGCGCTGCCGCTGGCCAGGCCGACGGTCCGCGGCCGCCCCGCCGCTTGCCGGGGCCCGGCCTGCAGGGAAGAAAGGTATACCCCCCCAAAAGGGGTTCGATCGAAGACGAAGAGGGCGGGTATCGAGGGTTTGGGGAATACGCGTTACTGGACACTCGAGCATACGAGGGCGAACAATCTTGAAATTAGTGTTGTTGTTGTTGGGGGGCGGTCTGGGCGCACCCCCGAAACGCCTGAGCGCGAGCCTAATTTTCGGAGGAAATGCAGCCGGCGCCTGGGCGAGAGCGCGAAAGCGCAATCAGGGTGCCCAACAATAACAATTGCTAGTACTTCAGGTTCAAAAACGACACCAATCATCTTAAGACTGCTCGCTCTCACTGGCACGCGTGTTTTGCATTCTGCATACCGCTACCCTCGATACCCGCCCACTTCGTCTTCCATCACACCCCCCTCTCGAAGGGAACATTTTGCCTTGTCGGCCACCGACTGCAGAGCGAGGAACTCTCAAGCGAGAACGCCATTCATGAGTTCGGGGGCCTCTCTGGGCAGGCCAGGGGCTCTCGGAGTGCATATCGGGAAATCTCGACCGGGAGCCCTATAGTCGCCGCGTCTGGGCCTGCCCCAACTTGCCTGAATGACAACACAAGCTCGAGCGAAAACGCCACTCTCGAGTTCGGGGACCTCCCTGGCAAGTGTCGAACGAAGAGCCCTTGTCGTCGCAGCTGGGCCTCCACCAATCTGACCGAATCACGAGAAAGTCAAGAGCACGAGCGCCGTTCCTGAACTCGGGGGCCTTCGTGGCCAGGGGCTGTCGGGGTAAATCTTGAGGAAGCATCGAGCAGAATTCCGTGTCGTCGTGGCCGGGCCTCCGCCAACTTGACTGACTTGCGAGGTCGTCTCGAGCGAGAGTGCCGCTCCTGACTTCGGGGGCCTCTCTGGCCAGGGTATCTCGGGGTAGATTGTGAAGATGTATCGAACGGGAGCCGTTGTCGTCTGAGCAGGGCCTCCAAGGGCACACTTTTACACTCAAACCAACGCTTATGTGGGAACCTCGTTTTCATAGAAAATCTAGCCGGCGTCTAGGCGAAAGCGCGCGGAATCGCTTCTGGAGATGAACAATAATACTTCTCTAGAAATGAATATTATATAACGGCTCCCGCCGAATACCTCCTCACAGTGTATTCCACAATCGCGCTCTGGCGCGGGACGCCTTCACAATGCATGCAAGAATCGAGCTCTCGCGTGGGACTTCCTCGCAACGCCGCGCCGTCTACACTCAGGAATCACGCTCTCCTGTGGCCTTTCTCGCGGCTTACTTGGGAGTCGCACTATCGTTCAATCAGTCTTCGCGACGCATGCCCGCTCAACCTTGCCACTTGGGCCCGCCTTCCCGACCTGCCCGCCAAGGTCTGCCTGCCCGAACTACTCGTCAGGTTCCGCAACAGGAATTCTACTCCGAACCCCCCTCCTGCTAATTTCTCTCGTGTTCCATCCTTTCCCTCACGTGGCAGGTAAAGAAATGTATCCCAAAGGAAGTGCGATTGAAGACAAAGAAGGCGAATAACGAGGGTGTGGGATATACGTGCTGGATGGCACGCGAGCAAACAGGAGCGAACGTTCTTAAAATGATTGTCGTTTCGTCGTCGTCGCCGCCGTCGCCGTCAATGTTGTTGTGGTTGTTGTTGAAATTGATGTTGTTATTGTTGTTGTTGGTTTTGTTGTTTGTTGAGTTCGCACTCCTGAAACATATGTGTTGGTGATCCCCCCTCCCAGGTAACCGTTGAACGTGTCAGTTATAATGCTTCTACTGGGGCTCGCACCCTGTTTTTTGACAAGGAAGAGCGAGGTGTCACCAAACTTGGCCCCTGGCCCCCGGTTTACAACAACAGCGGCTCCTGCCTGAGACTTCCTCACAATGTATTCCCAAATATCGCTCTCGCGCTGGACTTCCTCAAAAAGTATGCAGAAATCGCGCTTTCACGTGGGACCTCTTCGCAATGTATTCGGACGCCGCGCCCTTGACACTCAGGAATCATGCTCTCGCTGTTGATTCCCTGACGATTTGTTTGGAAATCGCGCTGTCGCTGGAGACGGCCTCGCGATTCATGCAGGACGCCCGCTTCAGCAACCCGCCTGCTCGACCTGGCCGCCTGGGTCCGCCTTCCATACCCGCCTCTCAAGGTCTACCCGTCCGATCTGCCCGTATGGTTCTGCCACGTGTTTTCTGCTACTCGCCACCCCCTGCTACTCTTTCTCGTGCTCCCTCCTCCTCCCTCCCCCTTGCCATTCCCTTCCATCCGTCCTCTCCTCTTGCCTTAGGGGCTGCAGGTTAATACACGCTGCAGGTATGAAATGTATGCCCCCAACGCGGTACGATCGAGGACGAAGAGGGCAGGTATCGAGGGTCTGGGATATACATGTTGAACGGAACGCGAGCAGACAAGAGCGAGCAGTCTTACATGATTGACGCTGTTGTTGATCATGATGCTTTTATTGTTGGTGGAGGTGGTGTTAATGTTGCGGATGGTGTTGGTTTGGGTGGTGTTGGTGGTGCTGTTGTTGCTGCTATTAGAGGTGATATTGTTGTTGTGGTTGTTTGTGTTGCTGCTGTTAATGGTGCTGTTTGTTGTTGTCCTCCCCCACGCGACCCACCCGCGACCCGCCCCCGACCCACTCCGCGCCCACCCTCCGCCTCTTATCCGCAACTGCGGGGTGCTACGCACCACTCTTCGTCCGCCAATGTGTTTGAGCGTACCGACATCCCCTGTCCCCCCCCCCGACGCAGGCGTGGGCGCGCCCGAGAACTTCGCATGGAGCGCGTGCCGCTGCTTTGGGTGACCCAAAAGGGGGTCCAGCTGAAGGGGGTGGTGCAATAGATTTGGGTCAATTGTATTGCAAATGTGCTTTGCCGGAGATTTGTATTGCATTGTATTGCAAGTAACGTATTGCACGCGAAAAGCCAATGTATTCCACGCCCAAAATGTATTGCAACCCCACAAATCTATTACACCAAATCTATTGCACCACCCCCTTGTCGCTGGACCCCCTTTTGGATCAACCCGAACTGCCCACTCCCACTGAGGGGCAATGCTGGGATCAGGTCGGGCATGCAGTGCGCGGGGGGCTCCGGCGGTGCGCGGCTACTCCAGCTCCGCGCCCTCGGCGCTCGGCGCCCTCGGCGCCCCCGCGCCTGGCCGCCGCGGGCGCGGGGAGGCGCTGGCCGCTCGGCCGGGTCATCGCTCCCCCGCCCTCGCCGCGCGCCGCCTCGCGCCGCCTCGGAAACGCTCTGGGACAATGAGTCCTCTCTCTCTCTCTCTCTCTCAGCTTAGCACTCTCCTCCTGTTCCTCCTTTTCCTCCTCCTCCTCCTTTTCCTCCTCATCATCACCACTACCATGATAATCAGCATCATACAAATAATAGTAAACATGATCATCATCATCATCATCAGCAGCATCATCACCACCACCATCATCAACATCATCATCAACAGCAGCATCATCATCTACATCATCATCATCATCATCATCATCATCATCATCATCATCATCATCATCATCATCATCATCATCATCATCATCATCAGCATCAGCATCAGCATCAGCATCAGCATCAGCATCAGCATCGTCATCCTCATCCTCCTCCTCATCATCATCATCAGCAGCATCATCATCCTCATCATCATCATCATCAGCAGCATCATCATCATCATCATCCTCATCGTAATCATTACCATCATCATCATCACAACCACCATCATCATCAGTAGCAGTATCATCATCAGCATCATCATCATGATCATCATCATCATCATCATCATCATCAGCAGCATCAGCAGCATCAGCATCAGCATCATCAGCATCAGCATCAGCATTTGCATCATCATCATCCTCATCCTCATCCTCATCACCATTATCATCCTCATCATCATCAGCAGCATCATCAGCATCATCACCATCGGCATCAGACTCAGTATCATCATCATCTGCATCATCATCACCATCAGCATCATCATCAGCAGCATCATCAACCATCCTCATCCTCATCACCACTATCACCATCAGCATCAGCACCATCATGCGTAGCATCATCATCATCATCATCATCATCATCATCATCATCATCAGCAGCATCATCAACAACATCATCATCCTGTTCTTTGAAAGGCACTAGGCAAAAGTTCGGCGGTGGTACGACCTCGCTCTAGGATCGACCTAACAACCGAGAACTTGGGCCTCCAGGCCTGCAAATTGGTCCAATACTTGAAGATTATACTCGCTGCAAGCCTGCATGCGTACCTGCCCATCCAATCCCGTTGTACGTGTCTGTGCCAATGGTGGGACTGGTCCGTTCTCTGCCGTCTCCGCCTCTCGAGCAGAAGTGCAAGGCCATGACCGTGACGTCATAGGTATGGCTCTTCCCGATCATCGATCCAGCGCGTATGGTTGCTTCGTTCAGGCAAAAACTCACACCACACGCTCAAACCGGAAGACTGCACCCATTTTACCATCCCGCTTGCACCATACTGACGAGTGGAAGGGCCTCCGTCTCGTAGGGCTTGTTCGTTTTCCTCTGCGTGCCCACAAGGATCAGGCAGTGCACCCTCCTGCACTCGTAGGTCAATCTCGGTCGCGCGGTCCCTGTCCGAGGGTGCCAGCGGGTCCCAATAGGGCACGCGCACTGCCAGCAGCAGCGAGAGGAAACACTTCATCGTGCTCCTGCGGGTACCGCGGTCTGCAGGGTGGGGGAGGCCCACCCTTCCAGGACGGGTCGTCCATTGCGCTGCCGCGCGAGACGCGGCCACCCCGCAGTCATGGTGGTGCCCACGTGGCTAGGAGGAGGAGGAGGAGGAGGAGGAGGAGGAGGAGGAGGAGGAGGAGAGCGGGGAGCTCTGCGGGGACTCACGTCGGCCCCCCCAGCGTTTGCGGGAAGTGCCAAGAGAGTGAGGCCCGAGCCTCGGCGCACCTCCACGGCGCCCCCTCAAGCCACCTCCCCGCCGCCTCCCTCTCGGCTCGCCCCGTGCCGTTCTGCGAGGGGCGGACCGGCGATCGGCGATGGAAATCCGCACACTCCTGGAGCGGGGGTGGGCTATCAGGCGGCGCCCATCGGCGATGAATGGACGGTTGCGGGTCGATGCATCCCCCTGCGAGCCTATCGCCCCTGAGGTTGCCTCTAACAGGCGTTCTCTCAGCCTGATTGGATCCAAGGCTGCCTACTGCGAGCCTCTTGCCCCTAGGGTTGCACCCGTCGATTGGTTTCCTCCAGCCTGCTGGCCCCGGGGGGGGGACAACGCTCCGCCCCTGGATCCGTCAGGGATGGCCCAGCGGACCTCCGACGGGCTGTGAGGTCGCCACGCAGTGTCCCGTGGCTCGCGAGATGGAAAGGGGAGGCGGGGAGGGGGGACGGGGGAAGGGAGGAAGAGGCCACCCTCCTTCCCCCCCCCCCGCCCCAACCCCTCGACCCCCTGGCGCCCTCGCTTCCCCATCGCCCTCGCTCCCTGTTCCCCCGCGCCACCCCCCTTCCCACCCTCCCTCGCTCCCACCCCTTTTCCCTCCGTCCCTCCCCCTCGTATCCCCCCCCCTCGCTCCACCCCTCGGCCCCCTGGCAGAGATACCTTCTTCAGCTGTGCGGCGACGGGGGCGGAAGCGATGTGACACCACAATCGCGATGAAGAGTAACGGGCCAGACGGCGCACACACACACACTCTCACACACACACGCATACATATACAGGCACGCACGCACGCACGCACACTCTCTCTCTCTCTCTCACACACGCACGCACGCACGCACACGCACACACACACACACACACACACACACACACACACACACGCGCACGCACTCGTACACGTACACGTACACGTACACGCACACGCACACGCACACGCACACGCACACGCACACGCACACGCACACGCACACACACGCGCACGCGCACGCGCACGCACGCGCACGCGCACGCGCACGCGCACGCGCACGCGCACGCGCACGCGCACGCGCACGCGCACGCGCACGCGCACGCGCACACACGCACGCACGCACGCACACACATACACACAGTTTCTGCGTCGGCGGCTTGGCAGAAAGCAACTGCTACGGCGGAATGGCAACACACACACACACACACACACGCACACACGCACGCACGCACGCACGCACGCACACACGCACGCACGCAAGCACACACACAACCACAAGCACACGCACAAGCACAGGAGCACACACACACACACACGTAAACACACACACACACAAAACAACACACACGCACACTTCGGCGTCGCGGCCACGCGAGCAGCACCGCAACGCGGCGGAATCAGGCACAGCGGTTGAGCACACACACGCACACACAAACACAAAACACACACACACACTTCTTCCCCGACGATGTGGAGAGACCAGTCAGGGGCTGACAAAAATTGGACCACGAAACTGATACAATCCATCTCCGCATATGAAGCAACGTGGAATAATGCGCAAGAACGCCCGCACAAAAAAAAACAACAACCACAAACAAACAAACAAACAAACAAAAACGCGCGCGCGCTCGCTGGTGCGCACCGAGTGTATGGGGGAAACAAAACATCCCCCACCCTCGCTCCCTTGCTCCAGTGCTCCTCACCCTCGCTCTCCCCCGTCCCCCATGTTTCCTTTTCCCCCCTCGCACCCTCCCTCTCTCTCGCTCCCTCCCTCACACCCTCCCGGCCCCCCAAACATCCGACGTCACCATTCGTTCCCAACGTTGACTCCTGGAGATGTGAACATGCCTGGACTTTCTCCCCGAGGCCGGCTCTCCATCCTGGTCTCAACCTTGGCGGTCCCCGGGGCTCGGCGAGGGCGAAGAACTGCCAAATGCCGCCGGTCCTGGGGTCTTTTCGCGCCGAAATTAGGGAGCCCACAAAGGACGTACGCGCCCAGCTATGTACAAAGGACGTACGCGCCCAGCGTGGACTCATGTACGCGTACGTCCTTCTTTCGCTCCTGAGGAGTGGGGCGCGGGGTTAAAAACTTCCGGAGGTCTGCACGGCTGTCTTTAAGGAGCGGTGCCGGACACCCCTCCCTGGCGCGCCGAGCGCGCCACGGGCGGCACATGGAGGCACCGCCACAGACTGCCCCACCGCCGACACAAACAACCTGGGCGGACCTCAGTGGACCCGGGAAACGATGGCCTTGCTGTGTCTGGGGACCAACTGAGGGGCGGACCCCTCGAGGGGTTTTGGGGCGTGCAAAATCTGGTGCTCTTCGCTCCGTCCCCCCGCGCGCTTCCAGCGGGAGCCGCCGCAAAGGGGGGCGTCCAAGACGGGGGCTCGCCACTCGTGGCCCGAGGCAGGAGCGCGGACGAGAGGGGGGGGGGGCCAGGGGACCGGTGGAAAGAGAAGGGGGGCATGATGCACGGAGAGAGATATAGCATTGCCCCGGCCACGGCATCCAAAAAAAACGCGCGGCATCGCGAGGAACACGACCCGCAGACGGCCCCTCTGCAGCTCGCTGCATGTGTGCAACCCTTGGCAGTGCAGCTACCCTGGCAGCCGCAGCCAGCACCCCTCCACTCGCCGGCCTACCCGCCGAGGTGCCGCGTGAGGCTCAGGCCTATCGGCTTTAGGCTAATTCGTCTTTGCGCGGCCCGCTCTGACTCGACTCGCCGCTGGCGCTCTCGCCTGCGGTCGCTGACTAAAAAGAAAAACACGACCTGAGCCCCAGACCCATCTTTCTGGTCGTTCTTCACTCCGGATCGACCAGCGAGGGCCCGGGAGCTCAAAGGCGGGCCGAAACGCCCCTTTCTGTGAGATGTTCGACGCCAGGACCTCAGCAGCCCCCCCCCCGTAGTCACCCCTCCCCCCTTCTTTCGACGGCGAGCCCAAGGGTGTAAGTGAAAGGGGGCAGGCCTTCTCAGAGGACGGCGGATCTTCTCGAAAACCCTCGCGCCTTCCGAAAAGTATCATGTAAGCCTTCTCCGAAATCGCGGAACACCTCCCAGGCGGCGCGAGACTTTCCGAGACGCCCCGCCGCCTTCTGACAAAGCCTGCCCCCTCTTACTTCCCCCCCCGTGCTCGCTGCCGACTCCTGGCCGCCCCCACCCCAGGAGAGCCGAAAATCGAATCGATGAGTCGTACCGGCGATCGAAATGAATCGGATCGGCGGACGTCGGCAGCCGAGCCGGGAAAAAAGTCGGATCGGTATAGACACATCGGCGGGCTGCAGCCGCGCCTCCAACCGAGAACTCGGAGCCCAGATCGGAAGCCGACACGTCGAACCGAAGCGGAGTGTCGTAAGCCCCCGACGTCGAACCGAACCACATCGGGAGCGGCGGAACGAGCCCCGCCCCCCCCCCTCGCCATCGCTCGGACGTCCATTCCCTGTGTTTTTTTTGTCGGTGTCGTGCGTGGTTTTTTTCCCAACCATCCTGTGGTGTTGGGTCCTCGTTTTGAAGAGACAGCGCCCCGCGTCTCACCTCCCGCTGCCCTCCTCTCTTCTCTCATCATCGTCGTCGTCGTCGTCATCATCATCATCATCATCATCATCATCATCATCATCATCATCATCATCATCATCATCATCATCATCATCATCATCATCATCATCATCATCATCATCATCATCATCATCATCATCATCATCATCATCATCATCATCATCATCATCATCATCATCATCATCATCATCATCATCATCATCATCATCATCATCATCATCATCATCATCATCATCATCATCATCATCATCATCATCATCATCATCATCATCATCATCATCATCATCATCGCCATGGCCATTAGTTTCCAACCATCCTGTGGTGTTCGCATGGCGGCCCCGCCCCATTTGGCGCACCCCTCACACATGGCATAGGGAGCTCCACCGAAGGCCCCATTCGCATGGCGGCCCCGCCCCTGGCGCACCCCTCACACGGTTCGTGGCCCCATAGGGAGCTCCACCGAAGGCCCCAGTGGCTGCGTTCGCATGGCGGCCCCGCCCCATTCTGGCGCACCCCTCACACGGTTCGTGGCCCCATAGGGAGCTCCACCGAAGGCCCCAGTGGCTGCGTTCGCATGGCGGCCCCGCCCCATTCTGGCGCACCCCTCACACGGTTCGCGGCCCCATAGGGAGCTCCACCGAAGGCCCCAGTGGCTGCGTTCGCATGGCGACCCCGCCCCATTCGGCGCACCCCTCACGAGGATCGTGGCCCCATAGGGAGCTCCACCGAAGGCCCCAGTGGCTGCGTTCGCATGGCGGCCCCGCCCCATTCTGGCGCACCCCTCACACGGTTCGTGGCCCCATAGGGAGCTCCACCGAAGGCCCCAGTGGCTGTTCGCATGGCGGCCCCGTTGGCGCATGCCGAAGGCCCCATTCGCATGGCGGCCCCGCATTCTGGCGCACCCCTCACACGGTTCGTGGCCCCATAGGGAGCTCCACCGAAGGCCCCAGTGGCAGGGTTCGCATGGCGACCCCGCCCCATTCTGGCGCACCCCTCACGAGGATCGTGGCCCTGTGGGGAGCTCCACCGAGGGCGCCAGTGGCAGGGTTCGCATGGCGGCCCCGCCCCATGTCGGCGAACCCCTCACGAGAATCGTGGCCCCATAGGAAGCTCCACCGAAGGCGCCAGTGGCAGGGTTCGCTTGGCGGCCCCACCTCATTGTGGCGCACCCCTCACACGGTTCGTGGCCCCATAGTGAGCTCCACCGAAGGCCCCAGTGGCAGGGTTCGCATGGCGGCCCCGCCCCATATTGGCGCACCCCTCACACGGTTCGTGGCCCCGCAGGGACATAGGGAGCTCCACCGAAGGCCTCAGTGGCAGGGTTCGCATGGCGGCCCCGCCCCAGTGTGGCGCACCCCTCACACGGTTCGTGGCCACATTGGGAATTCCTTTTGCTTCGTCCCACCTGCCCTGCGGTATTCACGTTTGCATATGGTTGGGTCCTTCGCCAGGATAATTTTCGCCAAAGGATCGAGGATGCTCCTCGATGGTCCTCGACGAAGGAAAAATGCACACGTCCGAGCGATGCCGAGGTTCCACCCCGCCGCCCATCGGGTGGCCCGGAGGGAGGACCGGCGAGGACGGGCTTCGGATTTTTCGCCGCCGAGAGGAGGAACAGGCACGGGAAGCAGCAATGGGAGCGTGGCAGCACACGTCCGAGCGGTGCCAAGTCCCCCCCCCCCAGGGCGCGCGGCCGGGGCGGCGCGTGCCGCGGCGGGCCTTCCCGCGGCCCCTCGCCCGCGGCGGCGCCGCCCGCGGCGCGCCTCCTCGCCGGGCGGGGCGAGCGGCGCGGGCGGCTCCGCGGGGGGCGGCGGCCATCGTCGGGCGAGGGGCAGCGTCGGGCGGCCTGCCTCCGAAGAGGCGGAGGGGGTGCGAGAGTCAGACGAAGGGGCCCCAGGACACACACACACACGCACACACACACACACACACACATAAATACACCCATAAAAATAGTCACATGTTTGTTCTCCTAGTTTCTGGGTTTTTTGTCTTCCCCCCCGCTTCCCGTATTTTCCTGTATTCTCCTGGGAGTGGACGATTAATTGCGTCTGTGTGTTTTTTCCCCTCCTGATCAGAACTGTGCTGGTCGGCGGCGCCGTGGATGATGCAGGTCGCGGCCGCGGCTGCGGCAGGGCGGCTGCGGACGGACTCTTTGACCTTCCATGAGGGCTACAAAAACTAAGACCAGGATCCCGACATCTAAACTTCTGTCGGGGTTTCAGGCAGCCCAGACAGGTCTGCAGGTCTGGAGAGTTATCTTTCTGCACTCTGGAAGGTGCGGGGCATTGAGCACAAAGGCGGCCGCGGACGGCCAGAACGGCCTCAGAGCGCGAAATCTTTTTCGAGGCCCGAGAAATCGGGAGCGGCGACGGAGCCCGGAGGCGCGACGGACGAGCGACAGGCGACGGAACAACGCCTGGAGGCGGCGCAGGCAGGGGACAGGGCGGAAGGGGGGAGGCGCACTGGATCGGCGCAGCCCCACCCAGCCCAGGCCAGCACCTTCCAGCGCCGCCGCGGCCGCGCCGGCGCGCACAGCGCTCGCCGCTCTCTCGGCTCCGGGAGGCGGCGCGCTCGAGCGCCGCCTCGCTGCGCACCGCCGGCGCGCGGCCCCCAGGGCCTGGCCACGCCGTCGCTCTTGCATGCTCGCGGCGCCGCGGGGCGGGCTCCGCGCCTGGCAGAGGCCGGGCGCGCAGGCCAGCGCCTGCTTTCAGGCCGCCGCCTGCCTCCTGCCCCGCAGGCAGCCGGGCGCTCGAGGCCGGCGCCGCCCTCCGCGTCCGCCCAGCTCCCGCGGGGGCGTCCTCGGCGGCAGGCAGCGATGCTGCGGCGGCGTCCGCACCGCCGCCGCGGCCCCTGCGGCTGCTGCCACGGCTGCCCGAGGCCGCCCTCGCCATGGCGGCCCTCGCCGAGGCACACGCGGCAGCTCTCGCCGAGCCACACGTGACGGAGACGAGTAGCACACCACGCGTGGCGAGCCTGGCGCACCGCGCGCACGCCTGGCACTACGCACCGCCAGGCGTCTCAGACCGCCGCGTTGCCGGCGGGCGAGGACGAGGAGGTCGGTCGGGACTCCGCAGGAACAGGTCGACTGCATGCCGTCCACAGGCTCTCGCGCAGCACGGGGGGCGGCTCCCCAGATGGCGAGTCCCGCCTTTGAGCGTGGTTCGGGCTCCGGGCTACGCACAGGCAACATCCGACTCCCCAGGGAGTCCTGGCTGGCCTCAACAGTCCCCTTGAGCAGTCCCACTTGGATCGCCGCTGTGGTTGCTGAGGGGATGAGGGGGTTAGAGGTGGATGCTAAAGTAGGTTTGACCTGGCCTAACTCACCCTATAAGTGGGATTCAAGTACCCTATGTGGCTTAGACTGATGAGGCACCTCCCCTAAGTGGGCTCCGCCAACTTAACCCAGATGTGTACGCCGTTAAACCACTTAGGGCACGTAGAAACCACTTCTAAGATAGGTTAGGCTGGATCAAACCCACCTTAGCAGGCACTAGTATCCCCCTATCCTCTTAGCAACCCCCGCGGCGAGCCGAGTGGGGTCAGAGGAATTCACCGGATCGCCGATGTACCGCCGATGAATCGGCGACATCGGCGATGCATCGGCGACGTGGGCGCGGAGAAAATCGGGCTCCGCATCGAGCCGCATCGCCAGTGAATCGGCGATATGGCGCGGACCTCCGACCCCCTCTGCTCGGCTCCGTCTGGGAGGCCCAGACTGCAGCATGCACCTGGTCCGTGTACGAAGTGCGTATGTCCCGCCCTCGGGGGCGTCTCTCCCAAGGAGGCTGGGAAGCTGCGTCCCCAGCGGCAGAGAGAAGTTTACCTCAAACATTTCTTAATCCGCAGGTCCCGAATCCCCTAGGTGAACTTTTTCTTACTCGGCGTTTCGACATTAGGCGCAAGGGAGGGGGGGTCTTGCTCTGGGCCTCTGCTCAATGCGACGGTTTGCAACAATGCGTCCTATGGGGGAGACCACACCTGCTTGCAACAGGCGCCAGAAACAGCGAAGATCTACTTCATTCGGGGATGGACAGACCCCCCTTTAGTAAAACGTGGTTTAGTGAAAACGACCTGAGGCCCAGACCTGGCGGGCGCAAGCCTGGAAAATAACGGCCACGGCGCCCTCTCGAGAACCGAAAACGGACAATTCGCTAATCGACGTGTCACTGTTGGGGGTTCTGTCCACCCCCGATCCATGGGAGGGGGGGGCGAAGGCCCGCGCCGATCGGCAACACAAGGAATAAAGAAAACGATCGCAATCCCTTAGGCTTAAGTCGGGCCTGTCCCCCTACAGGGGGATACTCCAAAAATAATAAAAAAATAGTCCAAACATAGTCTGGGGAACATTTTTTGAGCAGTGTTTGACCTTCTTGGGGTATGTTTGGGGTACGTTTTTTCCGTCGGAAATCGCCCTGTAGGGGGACACGCCCGACATAACCCAGAGGCGCACGCGAGCCCCCGTGACCCAGCCGTGTGCGCGCCGCTGCCTCGGCTCACCGCCAGCCTTTTCCATCCCGAGCTGCGGCGTGTTTCTGCCCTCCCGCGGTCCCCCCCAGGCCCCGGGCGGCCCGAACACTGCCCTAGGGGGCCACATGCGAACTATGCCCGAAGACTCGGGACCTGTCTCCTTCGGGGCCTCTCTGCTTCACCACAGGGGCCCAAGAACACACAGAGAAGAAGACACACACGTCCCAGGATTCCCCATGTGTCTACATCTTTTCTGGAGTCTCGTCATCCACACCACTTCCCATACCCATCGGTGGGAAGAAGTAGGTAGAAACATGAAGTGGGAAGGCGTTGAAAGTAGATTGGGTTTCCGCACGCCCCCTGAAACGAATGGAAAAGGTGAAGCCATTCGATCACTGAAATAGGACGGCGCAAAAAGTAGACTGCACTCTGGGAATCCAAAAATACCGACTGTGAACGACCGATGTCTTTTCACATATGCTTCCTGGAAGTCGACGTGCTGAAGGAGGAGGAGGAGGAGGAAGAGGAGGAGGTGAAGGAGGAGGAGGAGGAGGAGGAGGAGGAGGAGGTGAGGGGAGGAGGAGGAGGAGGATGTCGAGGATCGCAGAGAAGAGGGTGAGCAAGCGACACGTTTCACTCGACGTGCTGGCCTCCTCCTCGTGCCTGTGTCCTTGTGCTGCTCCTCCTCCTCCTCCTCCTCCTCCTCCTCCTCCTCCTCCTCCTCCTCCTCTCCTCCTCCTCCTCCTCCTCCTCCTCCTCCTCCTCCTCTCCCCTCCTCCTCCTCCTCCCCCCCCCCCTCCTCCTCCCCTCCTCCTCTCCTCCTCCTCCTCCTCCTCCCCTCCTCCTCCTCCTCCTCCTCCTCCTCCTCCTCCTCCTCCTCCTCCTCCTCCTCCTCCTCTCCCCCTCCTCCTCCTCCTCCTCCTCCTCCTCCTCCTCCTCCTCCTCCTCCTCCTCCTCCTCCTCCTCCTCCTCCTCCTCCTCCTCCTCCTCCTCCTCCTCCTCCTCCTCCTCCTCCTCCTCCTCCTCCTCCTCCTCCTCCTCCTCCTCCTCCTCCTCCTCCCTCCTCCTCCTCCTCCTCCTCCTCCTCCTCCTCCTCCTGGCTCACGGCGGCCCCGCGCCCCACGGAGCTCCTCCCTGGCTGCCACGGCCGCCCGTCGCCGGCGGTGGCGAGCGCGCCGGCGACGAACGAGCGCCAGCGGGCCTCGGGGGAGCTCGCGTCCTCCTGGCCCAGCGTCTGGAGCTCCGCGCGGGCGACGTGGCCCCCCTGCGCGGAGGGGGGGGGGGCGTGCGGCGAGGAGGGGAGGAGGAGGAGGAGGAGGAGGAGGAGGAGGAGGAGAGGAGAAGGAGGAGGAGAGAGGAGGAGGAGAGGGGGAGGAGGGGAGGGGGGGGGCGTGCGGCGGGGGGGGGGACGAGCGGAGCGCAGCGGCACCGGCTGCCCCGGTGAGGCGCGCGTGGCAGAGGCGCGGAGGGGTCCAGAGACACCCCCCCGAGCATGGCAAGCCAGGGATTGGCCTGAACAGTGTTCCTCGTTTGCGTCATGGCCAGGGGAACAAAAAGTGGCATAAACATAAAAACTCGGAGGTCCGCGCGGATTTCTCGGATCGGCGCTGGGGCTCCCCGGCGGCGCCTCCGGCGCCGCCCCTGGCGCGCTCCGCGCGCTAGGGAGGGGGGTCCAGCGCCGATGCGAGAAATCCGCGCGGACCTCCGAGTCTTTATGTTTATGTCACTTTTTGTTCCCCAAATGACTCCGTTGTCCCTCGCTTTGTCTTTGGTGCTGCACAGCGAGAGCGGAGCGACCACGGCCCACGGCATCGCCAGAGCACCGTCTGGGCTGCCCCTGTGGAAGCGCAGCACCGCCGAGGGCCAAACCCTGTGCAGCCTTGCTCGGGGATCTCCTGACCCGGGTCAATCAGACCTGGGTCGGCAGGAAACCAAAAAACTGCCATGCAGGAGAAGAAAACTGCAACGCACGTCTTCGCGAGCCTATTTATCGGCCAATACGCGCGACCGCCTCGCGGCCACGAGCGGCTCGCTGACCCGGGTCGGCCCGAGGGGGTCGTCGCAGGATCCTGCAGGATCCGGTGCCCTGGCTGACCCCCGTTTGCATTGACCCCCCGTCTCTTGAGCCCTGACTTGCAGGGCGCGGCCCCCTCCGCAAGCACTGCGCGCCGGCGGGGCCGCCGCGGACGGGGCGCCGAAGCGGAGCAGGCGCGCCCGGGGCCCGACGAGCGCCCTGCGGGGGGCGCGGTTCGCGCGAGGGGGGTGCCGAATTTGGCAAGCGGGCGGTCCGCGCCCGCTGGGGCCGTGGGGGGAACTCCCTGTGGTCCACGATGCGTACTCGGATCGCCGCGGTGGTTGCCAAAGGGATGGGGGAGGTTAAAAGTGGGCGCCAAAGTGCGTCTTATCCAGCCTAACCCAGATTAAGAAGTGGGCTGCATGTGCCCTAAGTGGCAGTAGAGCGCATAGATCTGGGCCAAGTGGGCGGAGTCCACTTCGCGGAGTTACCTCATCATCCCAAGCCACATAGGGTTAGGTTAGGCCAGATAGAACCACTTTACAATCCACTTCTGAACCCCCCATCCCCTTAGCAACCACCGCGGCGATCCAAGTACAGCCAACGCGAATGATGAGGATGTACAATAATGATGCAAGGACTTTGGAAGGCCATGTCGAGGTTTTTCGAACGGGGTTGGCCAGCAAAGGCTGCCAAAGATGGGCCGAGGGGGAGAGGATGCAAGAGTAAGCCTGGAAAGCGGCTCATCCTTACTATGCGGTTTGACGTGTGATGGGTGCGCAGATCGAAACGGCGCCCTGGCCCGCATGCGAACACCCCCCTTCGCGCGACGGAGCTCCCTATGCGGAAAGCTCTGCGTGAGGGACGTGGCGAACGGGGCCCGGAGCCGCCATGCACGCGTGCCCACTGGGGCCATGGGGGAGTGTCCCCGTGGGGCACGATCTGCGTGAGGGGCGGCGCCGCCATGTGGGAGCACCCACTGCGTCCGTGAGTGCAGCTCCCCGTGGGCCACGAAACGAGCGAGGTGTGTGTGTGTGTGTGTGTGTGTGGGTGTGGTGTGTGTGTGTGTGCGTGCGTGCGTGCGTGCGTGCGTGCGTGCGTGCGTGCGTGCGTGCGTGCGTGCGTGCGTGCGTGCGTGCGTGCGTGCGTGCGTGCGTGCGTGCGTGCGTGCGTGCGTGTGTGTGTGTGTGGGTGTGTGTGTGTGTGTGCGTGTGTGTGTGGTGTTGTTGTTGTTGTTGTTGTGGTTGTGGTTGTTGTTGTTGATGTTGTTGTTGTTGTTGTTGTTGTTGTGCTTGTTGTTGTTGTTGGTGTGTGTGTGTGTGTTGTGTGTGTTGTTGTGTGTGTGTGTTGTTGTTGTTGTTGTTGTGGTTGTTGTTGTTGTTGTTGTTGTTGTTGTTGTTGTTGTTGTTGTTGTGTTTGTTTTTGTTGTTGTTGTTGTTGTTGTTGGTGGTGTGTGTGTGCGTGCGTGCGTGCGTGCGTGCGTGCGTGCGTGCGTGCGTGCGTGCGTGAGTGCGTGTGTGTGTGCAGTATGTGGGCGCGGTAGTGCCACGCGGACATGCCCAATGGGGCAGTTGGTCGAGCTCCCTGCCGGGCACGATCCAAATGAGAGGTGTGCCGAAATGGGCGTTGCGGCGCCATGCGCGCGCGCCCACCTGTGCCGTGGGTGAACCTTCCTGTGGAGCACGATCCGTGTGGTGGGTGCGCCGGAGTTGACGCCACAATGAAATGCGGGCTCGCCCACTGCAGCACCAGGCGCAGCTTCATATGGCATCGCGAAGCGTGTTAATGGAGTGATGAACATATGCATGCGGCGGAGACCAGGGACGAGGACGAGAAGACAAATATAGGAAGGAGGAGGAGAAGGAGGAGGAGGAGGAGGAGGGGGAGGAGAAGGGGGAGGAGGGGGAAGAGGAGAAGGAAAGGAGGGGGAGGAGAAAGAAGGAGACGGACGACGCTGCGGGCTTCCAAACGAGGACCCAACGACACAGGAGGGCTTTGCAGAGAGGACTGCATTGTGGTCGTGATGAGGTGCACACGTGGCCTGCCTGCGGGGCCCTGAATAAGGATGCCTCTGGCCGAACGGCTCCTCCTCCTCCTCCTCCGCCTCCTCCTCCTCCTCCTCCTCCTCCTCCTCCCCACCCCCTCCCCCCCCCCTCCCCCTCCTCCTCCTCCTCCTCCTCCTCCTGTTCTGTTTGACGGCATTTGGGGACGGTGATCCGCTGCCCGCACGTGAATTCGGGAAAGGCGCACTTGTCACTGAAGCTTGACCTTAGGCACCGACCTGTTGGGCCTCGCAATAGGGGTCAAGCGGACAAAAGAAGCGCGCCAATGTCTGGTCGAGAGGGGGGTGACGGGCCAGGTCAACACAGCTCCGCGGATGGACCGCACCCCTCTCTCTGAGCTCCTGGCATGCGAAAGTGACAAAATGTCGGGCCAGAAACATGCACAGTTCGGGAGGATGCTCCTTGGCGGTCTGGGGCTTCCTGCCGCCGTTGCCATCACTTCCCTCTAAAGTAGTGTGGCCTCCGTGGCTGCAGCGTCCTCTGTTCGTCGTCATGTGAACTTCCCTGCGCACGGAGGGGAGATTCACAGTCAGGAGCATCGTTGGTTTCGTCGTTTGCGAACCGAACATACACTGGTCAATCCAGATCGTATCAGTATTAAAACCCATCGAGGCTAAGGTCCGCATATGGCTGGTTTCCTTGAGAAACCAACTCATTGGAGCAACCTGATTCGACGGGCAGGCAGGGTGCACTAGTATACCACAGGCACCCGACGCAAGACATACGCACATGAAATAAAGCGCAGCACGATACAGATCAGTTTCTGTAGATGTCTGGGCCCACTCTCTGGGAGTGGCTGGAGGTCGCCCCCATTCATACTGTAAGGACCGAGGCTGTCGAAATCCCTGGTCTCGAGGGTCCTCTAGTGATCGCACTGGCCTCCAGGTCTCGCTGGGGGGGCTGGTGAAAATTCCCATGGCGAGGCCTTGGGAAACAAAGGTAGCGAGCTTAATGCAAGCACTGCGTGACCTGAGGTCACCGTCGGCATCGTCATTGACGATGTCGATCGATACACAGCGAGGGGCCCAGTGGGAGCCTCTAGAGTCTGAAAGAGCTCTACACAAAGCTGGAAATCTTCTCTCCGCCTCTGACCACAACAGAGATGGAGAATGTATCTCGTTTCACTGGGCTGTATCCTACGAGGGCTCGGGGGGGCACACCCCTCGGCCTCAGGGAAGCAAACGACAGAGGTATAGGTAGGACGGAGCAGAGGAGGACCGAGACCATCCAGGGCAGAATGGAGGGCGTCGCCAGGGTCCTCAGGGCGGGCGGGAACGTCGGCCTCGGTGGCACGCATGCCCTTGGCCTTCAAGGAGGCCACCAAGGCGCGATCATCTTCGCACAACTCCTTGTATCTCTCGTCGGTGTGGGGGGCCACGGTACGACTCCAGAGCTCAAGGCAGCCAGTGCGAGCATGTTGCAAGTGCTTCAGGAGGCGGGGACGCGTGACAAAGTCAACGCCACAAGCCAGGCATTGTCCCGTCTCAGCGATTCTGCCCGCAGGGTCATCGTGCTTCTTGGTAATACGAGCGCGCATTGCTCCCTCGTGGGCACGCACACACTGGCAAGTGTCGCAAACATATTTCGTAACAGGCTCAAGGAGCGGAGCAGAATCGGGCGGCGGAATGGCGTGAACTCTACATATGTTGGCCAAGTCCTTTCTCCACAACTGAAGCCGGTGCCGGTCTGCTTGCCATGTTTTAAAATTGCGTGCGGCGGTCCTGCAGATTCTTTTCCATCGCGCTGGGTCAGTGGCCGCTTGCAACAACAGTTCACGAGCAGAGAGAGCGCGATCTTCTTTAAAATCATAGAACTTCTGAAGCCACGCGAGATCCTCTCGCACGCGCGCACCCCATGACTTCCTACAGCGGCCTTCCATATCGAGGAGCTGCCGCAGCTGTGGCGGGGCCGAAGTCATCAGCCCGGCCAGGTACCGGAGCCGCACGAGACGCAGGATGTCAGGAACAGCGAGCCTGTTGACATCGAGCAAGACCTGCTCGTTGGCAACGTGCGGCTGGTCAGGACGTCCAAGCCGCATCCCCAGGATGGTCCTGAAAGGGGCAAGGTGGGCGGCGACCATAGCTTGCTGTTGATCCCTAGACAGTTCGCCCCAGACGTGGGCGTTGTAAAGCAACCTCGAAGTACAGAGAGCGTCAACATACTTGGCTCGAGTCTTGATGGGTAATC